TAGAGCTCTCTCTGACCTCTCTCTCTGGCCTCTCTTGCCCCTCTCCTCTCACCTCCTCACTCCCTTGTTCCCTTGTCCTCCTTCCCTTCCCCCTCTCTCCACGTGGACCGCCAAGCTGGGCTGAGGTGAGCAATGCTAACATGTAATGTGTCTGACTGCATTAGTGTAATACCTCTCATGCTCTCGATGACTTTAATATTATATCTATATACATATATATACATATATATATATATCAACCGTACAATTTTGCTATTGTGCTTACTGAACCCATGGGTAGTAGTAGCGGTGGGGGCTGGCCGCTCACCCCTCCAAATTTAACTTAATACTACAGGGGTCTTAAATGCTTGCAAGTAGCATTCCAAGATACAAATATTGGTCTCTTCCTGTCTGGAGCCAAAGGAAATGAAAGAAACTAAAAACTCAAGGAAGAAATTAATCCACAGGACTTAACGAATGGTCTATCCAAACCACAACCTCTTCTAACTTAAGACCACAAGCACTAGATGGTACCTGGATACCACTACTGACCATCCTAACCAAGGATACAATAAAACGTATCAGTGAAAATGGGAGAAATGTGTAAACCAAAACTCAAATTTGTTAAAAAAAAAAAAAAAAAAGCTGATTTATTGAGCAGTGTTTCACAAAGTACACAATGACCTACCACCACCCCTGGGGGGGAGGTGGGGTGGCACTAGGCTGACCAAGGGAGGCTGAAACAGACACCTATACTTATCCTGGATTATAAATTATATTTTTATTTTTAACTGTCAGGGATACGGGCTGAATAAATATGAGACCACATTGTCTAGAGGAAACCTCAAGACTACTGCCATAAGATACTCTTTGAACTGATAAGATTTATAGTTCACCTATCAGCCAAATAATAGACTGGCCTTAAAATAAACACTAATAATCCTTAGGAATGCTCCTTTAAACAATCAACTGCACAAGAACAAACAGTCAACATTTACACAAAAGCAAAAGTGAGAAGGCAAGGTGGGGTGAGAAATCAGATGAATAAACATGACAGGTGGGGTAAAATTACTGAGTGCTGACACACTACTGGCATTGTAACCAATGTCAGGGAACAGCTTGTCTCTGAAATGATGAATAGGAATCTAATGTGCTGTGTAAATTTTCACTTAATACACTATTAAAAACAACAACACATACTGGGTTGATCAACTTAATTAGTTGATAATGGAATATTAGACAGTTGTTAGAAGACATTTACAAGACTTCAGGACATGAGAAAATGCTAACAATTAAGTACAGAAAAATGTTAGAAAATGTGTGCTTTTAAGTCTGTTAATAATTATGTGCAGACACATATATATGCAAAAGTAATATTCATGACTATCCCAAATGCCAATAGTATATTCCTTGAGGGGTGAAATTGAGGGTGATTTTCCTTTTTTTATTGGCACATAATCTACATATCATAAATTCAACAGTTCAATCATAAGAAGA